TTTTTGGTTGCAGCCGTCATTGTTGTTTGGCGGGTCCGGGCTGGGGATTCGAACCCGCCACCTTAGGTGTACATGGCTAGCGCCTTAGCCAGTTGAGCTATAGGCGCCGAGCCAGGCACTGAGTTTTTAAACTGTATTTAGTTTTTTGTTTGTTTGTTTGTTTTGAGACGGAGTCACTATTTTGCCCTCGGTAGAGTGCTGTGGTGTCACAGCTCACAGCAACCTCAAATTCTTGGGCTTAAGTAATTTTCTTGCCTCAGCCTCCCAAGTAGCCGGGACTACAGGTGCCTGCCACAATGCCCAGCTAAACTGCATTTAGTTTTAACTAATTTATATTTAAATAGGCACACATAACTAGTGGCCACCATATGGGACAAAACATCTCTAGAGCTCCTAAAGGGAAGCCACTAGGGCTACTCATTGCTGGAAGGGCTGGGGTATGAACTAGAAGGCTTCCTGGCTGAGAGGAGGGCACCTGCTTACCCCAAGTTCCTACTCTCCTCTTCTGCCTCCACTTTGGCCCTGTATCTTTTCAATCCCTTACCTTACTTTCTTTCCTGTCCTCCCCAGCCCTGAAGATCCACTTGTCTTCTGAGACCAAAGCTGTTCTGGAGGAGTTTGGTGGCTTTGAGCTGGAGCTTCGAGGGGATGTAGAGATGAAGGTAGAGAGGGAAGCCCCTACCTTTACTACCCCTCAAGCAGCCACCCTCATCCTAGGCCTCTCATCTGTTTGGGAAGATGGGTTGCTGCTTCCCACCCTAACCTCTGCTTTTTCTTTCCAGGGTAAAGGCAAGATTCGGACCTACTGGCTCCTGGGGGAGTGGGGAAATAGCACCCAAGGCTGACCTGCCTTCCTTCCTGTCCCTGTGTTCCTGCCACACCTTTCTATCTTGTGTCAGAAGTGGCAGAGAGGTGCTGGGCCTCAGCCTCACTTACAGCAGTCCATCATTGCTAAAGGATTGGAGTAGCGGGTTGAGCAGCTAGGGTGTGCTGACCCCAGTGGAGATCTCAGATCAACATCTGAGAGAGGACTAGCGTGGGGGAGAACTCCGAGTTCACAGCACAAGACCAAGGCACACAGTCATACACAGTGGCACACAGAGGCACTGCCCCCACTCCACCCTGACTTGGGTCAGGCTGAACTGTGGATTCCTGAACCTTCTCCCTCCCACAGCTGGTGCTCAGTCCGTCAACCTTGCTACACTGTGACTTTCACTGGGAGGAAAGGAATCATCTGGGAGGGAAAGAATCATCTGGGGAGTCCACATCTGGGCCTATCCCATGTGGGCCACAATACTCTGTGTGATGGCCCACAGTGGACATAGCACACAGGGGAGGAAAGACTGGCACAGAGGGGCTGCTGGCCTGTTTGCCTTGCTGTCTAGGTAGAGACCATTAAAGTCTTTATTCCAGCAACGTTGTTTCTTCTTGAGAGAGAGAGGGTTGCCAGAAAACAGTTATGTTCTCCACTCTACTTCCAATGAGACTCTGGATTCACAAGCTGGGAACGTAGGGTCTGAGAAAGACCATACAGCCTACGGATTACTCAGCAGTGCTGAAACCTTTGGTCTAAGGACCCATTTATACCCTTAAAAATTATTGAGGGCCCCAGAGAGCTTTTGTTTATGTGGTTATTATATCTATTGATTTTTTCAAATTAGAAATTAAGACAAATTCTTATTTATTAATTCATTTAAGATAGCAATAACAAACCTACTACATGTTAATTTTTTATTGCTTTATCAAGAACATTCTTTTTTTTTTTTTTTTTTTTGAGACAGAGCCTCAAGCTGTCCCCCTGGGTAGAGTGCCGTGGCATTACAGCTCACAGAAACCTCCAACTCCTGGGCTCAAGCGAGTCTCCTGCCTCCGCCTCCCAAGTAGCTGGGACCACAGGCGCCCGCCACAACGCCCGGCTATTTTTTGGTTGCAGCCGTCATTGTTGTTTTGGCGGGTCCGGGCTGGGGATTTGAACCCGCCACCTTAGGTGTACGTGGCTGGTGCCTTAGCTGGTTGAGCTATAGGCGCCGAGCCTATCAAGAACATTCTTAAGAAGGCTGGGTGAGATGGCTCACACCTATAATCCTAGGACTCTGAATCTCAGGCAGGTAGATTGCCTGAGCTCAAGAGTTCAAAGACCAGCCTGAGCTAGAGCCAGACCTCGTCTCTAAAAATAGCCAGGCACTGTGGTGGGCACCTGTAGTCCTAGCTACTTGGGAGACTGAGGCAAGAGGATCACTTGAGCCCACGAATTTGAAGTTGCTGTGAGCTATGATACTACAGTACTCTACCAAGGGTGACAAAGTGAGACTGTCTCAAAAGAAAAACAAAACATTCTTAAGAGAAACTGGCCTTTTCATTGTGTAGTAGTGAATAATATAGTGACTAATTTGGTGACTAAGTTGCCTTCATTAATGTAAGGCAACAGCAAGTAATGTATTAGTATGAAAATCATTTGACTGCATCTAGCCCCTGAAACAATCTTGGGACCCCTAGGACCTGTGCATTACACAGAGCTGCTATATTACTCCATGGTTGGCATACAATAGTAATAATATAATTAGTGTGGACTGAATGGAGAGACCAGGGAGCCAGAAAGGGAGTTGGAGTGGGGTGGGAACATACTGAAAACTTTCTTTAATTTTTTTATTTTAGTGATGGGAGTCTCCCTCTGTGTCCCAGGCTGGAGCACAGTGGCTATTCAAAGGGTAGTCAGAGCACCACTGCCTCAAACTCATGGGTTCAACCAGTCCTGCCCCAGACTCCCATGCAGCTGGGACTACAGACCCAAGGTTGCCCAGCTACCAGGCCTGGCCACATGCAGGCCTTTCTGAGATTGGGGGTTATCCACCTGTTCCTCCATTCCCCATGTCAATGTAGACAAATGTTGAGTGGTAGTCTGCAAAATGTCTCCTATCTGGGCTAAAGGCCCTCCTTTCCTTGTCCAGCCACCCCTCACACCCCACCCTAGGCAGGCAGGAATGCGGGGGAGAGGTGGCTGCAGCTTCACCTCTCCCAGGGGGAAGAAAAGTGCCAGACTTTTCTTCAGGACCATCCATCAAGCCTAGACAGCCCCTCCTCCCCCTCCCCAACCTCTTCCTGGAGTCCACCCTGTGGGACCTGGAGGATGGGGCACTGGGAGCTTGCAGGTCTGGTCACGTGGCAGCGCTCCCTGGTACACAGTGGCCTTTGGGGATGAAGGAAGGATAAATTGTTCCCCGTCATGTCCAGTGACTCTAATTGTTTTGTTTCCTATTCACCCTTGTTGGCTCCAGTCAGACTTGATTTATTGGGAAAGGGCGCTTATGTGGTAAAGTAACTCACCAGCCCAGCCAGCCCTGGGAAGGCCTGAGCAAAGATGGTTGCCCTGGCAACCGGCCACTCCGCTTCCTGGCGGACCCAGGTGGCCACACTGACACCCCCCGCCTCCCAGGGCCGGGATTTCTCCTCCTCGGGGTAGTTGACAGCCCCAGAAGAGACTGGCCATGACAGAGGGAACTGGGGGTGCTAAGTAGGTAGATCAAGGCCAGGGCTGGGCGTCCAGAGGACAGAAGCTCTGGGGACCGAGGAGCCGGTCGGGGGAGGGGGGGGCGGGGCGGGAGGTAGGCCCACAGCTACCGCAGGACAATTCCAGGAAACGGCCCAGGCAGCCCGGCTCCAGTTCCCGCGCTCGCAGAGAGGGGGCCGGGCGGGGCGAGGGCAAGCCCAAGGAGCCGGTGATTTCAGCAGCTCGAGAACTTTCACTGGAACTGAGGAGATTTCCTTCCGGAGGAAGGACTGGGAAAGTCATTACAGAGGTGGGAGAGCAGCGATGACCTCCCTCCCCGAGACCCTGAGAACGCGCGGCCGAGTGGGGCGGTCTGGCTCGTACCGCCTGGTAGGGTTGGGTGGGGGCAACATAGTTTCCCTGGAGCATAAGAACAACAACAATAATAACTGGGGTCAGTTGTGCCTTGAAGTTGACAACGGCTTTCACATACATTGTCCCAGCGGCCCACGTGACAGCCGGAGGGTGGGGCAGGCAGTAGCCAGCTGCAGAGGCGGGCGGGGGAAACAGCCAGCTGGAACCCACAAATAACCACCTCCCCCACCTCCTCTTTTCTCTACGTCAAAGGGCTTGGGTAATTTGTTTATCATAGCAGTACACTTAGTAATAATTACTTTTTAAAAAGATTTATAACTTTCAGGACAGATATGTGGGATCTAATTAGCAGCAGAAGCCAGTTTAGCAGTCTGAAAGTCATTTTTTAATTAAATTGCATGAGCTATAAAACTATAAAAATAAACTACAAAAAGAATGCCGTCCTGGCTCGGCGCAGTAGCTCAGTGGTTAGGGCACCGGCCACATACACTGGTGCTGGCAGGTTCAAACTCAGCCTGGGCCTGCTAAACAACAATGACAACTACAACAACAAAAAACAGACGGATGTTGTGGCGGGTGCCTATAGTCCCAGCTACTTGGGAGGCTGAGGCAAGAGACTCACTTGAACTCAAGAGTTTTTTTTTTTTTTTTAGACAGAGCCTCAAGCTATCCCCCCTCCCCACCCCCCCGCCGTGGGTAGAGTGCCGTGGCATCACAGCTCACAGCAACCTCCAACTCCTGGGCTCAAGCGAGTCTCTTGCCTCAGCCTCCCAAGTAGCTGGGACCACAGGCGCCCACCACAACGCCCGGCTATTTTTGGGTTGCAGCCATCATTGTTG